TGGATGAATGGTATTTTTTAAAGTAGCATTATACATTTGTTAATTCCTATATTTTGCTGCAGTGAACTTGTTGCAACAAGATGCTGAGAAGGAAATAAGGGCTTTATAAGGGACAGAACAGTACAATTCACTGGACAGTAGAATCTTGACTTAAATGACAAGCTAAGTCCTTTCTGTTTAGATAATTGTATATGATACTCCTCGGAAGGTACAGTGCCTGTGCGTCTTGGGATTTGATAAAGGACAAGTATGTGATTCTCCTACTGGACCTGGTTAGAGTCCATTACATCTAAATATATACAGCATACAGCAGGTCCCCAACTTTGTGTCTAGTTCCTCCTAATTGTCACCTCCTTTAAAAAAATGCATTTATTTGGTTCAGGATCTCACTGTGCAGCTCAGATTCACAGTGGTCCTCCTGTCTCAGCCTCCCCAGCCCTGGGATTATAGATGTGCACCACCACGTGGCATGTGGTATCGGGGATTGAACCCAAGTCCTTGTGCTTGCCAGGCAGGCACTTAGACTGCTGAGCTAGCTTGCCAGCCCTAATCATCACCACTTTACATTCCTCATTCTTTACCATCAACCAGTCCCCTTCCAGCCACCCCGCACCCTGCCATGGAAGCATTTAGCACCAGAGTCTGTTCACTAAGTCTTTGTCTCCACAGTTGCGCTAAGTCCAACTTAGCTCTCTTTCTGCCATTCCCCTAATAATGCTTTTCCTTCCTGTCATGCTCTGTGGCTTGCTACAGCCCTGGCCTTTGCCCTCACTGGACGGTGTAGCCTCCTGGCCCTTCCTGGTAGAAAAGGAGGAAACCTATTAGATTTCTCAACTGGCCAGCAGCATGGCACCCCCTAAGTGCCTCTCTGGGTCCCAGGATGCTCATCACTTGTTTGTTTGTTTATTTGTTTGTTTTTGTAGAACTGGGGATTGAACTCAGGCCCTTGTGCTTGCCAGGCAAGTGCTTATTCTACTGAGCCATCTCCCTGGCCCCTGTAATACTCACATTTGCTCTCGAAAGTCTCCCTTGATCCCTGACCTCTTCCTCCCTTTTGCATGTAGCATCTCCAGGGGCAGCATACTGTTTCCCAAGCCTGGATTTCTCAGGACAGCAATTCCACTGGGTAGGATTTGATTGTAAAATTACCTTAGTCCCTGTTTCAGCATCCCAAGGACCGAGATAACTTTGGGAAGCTCAGCCCTCAAAATCACTTTTAGGACTTGGTTTTCTACTTTCTCATGAGCTGGGCTTCTTTACCTATACTTTTGAGACTTCCCATTGGTGGGAAATATTTCTTCTCTTGTGGGCAGAAGCGGAACTCTTTCTTCTTCCTGGCTCAAAGCCTCAGTCCGTGGAGAACTGCTCACTAGGTTACTATTCTGTATCCCAGAATGCTTCTGGCCTTGGCCAGCTGCCCTCAGCCCAGGGACTTTTGATGAAGGCTTCTCCATTGTTGATGAGAGATGCCACATCTGGGAAATCCCTGGGATGCGTTGGGGGAAGCTGCATATCAGAATGAAGCCTCTACCACCGGACATATTTTTTGCTGTGGGAAAAGGAAGTTATTTTCCTTGTTCACTATGTGATGGCGGCTTTTCCAGGGCTGTTTCTGGAAATTTAGTTCTTGAGTGTGTCTTTCTTCTTCTCTCTGTATGTCCTTGGTTCTGTTCTCTGCGTATTAACACTGTCTCGCTGCTCTTCAGCCTTCAGGGCTGAGCATGTGCGAGCACATTTTTAAGGGTGTTCAGACCCAGCAAGGGTCATCCAGGGCTTCAGCATCTGCCCCCCTGAGACCCATAGTTGGTGTGATGACAAACAGTGTCATTTGGAGGGTTTGCCCTCAAGGGAGCTTCTGGACTCTCTGGAGCAAGTTATTCCTGTTTTTAGTGCTCTTACCTTGTCAGGATCCATTTATTTATTTATTATTTTAGAGAAAAAAACCCCAATAAAACAGTGGCATAAAATTTCAAAACAAGGCTAGGGACATAGCTTGGTGGTTAAGCACCTGCCTGGCAAATGCAGGGACCCTGGTTTGATCCCCAGTACTGCATGCTGTGCCAGCCCCAAAACCAGGCATGGTGGTGAACACCTGTAATCCCAGGTTTTGGGAGGCTGGACACAGGTGGATCACTACAAGTCCGATGTAGTAGTGAGACCCTGAACACCCTGGAGACCCTTTCCTAATATCTATCTATCTATCTATCTATCTATATATATATATGACTTTTTATGTATATATATTTATATATATACATATGAGTATATATATATGCATATATATACATATGAATATATATATATATATATATATATATATGCTACAAGATACAGGTATAAAAAACCAATCTAGCAATATAGGCTCATATGTGTCTTTTCAATAGCTGATAGCAATTAGTAGTGTATCTAGCTTAATGATCTTGCATGTGCATATGTACTCCCTCCCCTTTTTTCTCCTTTCCCCCATTCCAGTTTCTCTTTCTTTTCTTTTCTTTTTTTAATTAAATTTTTTATTTATTCATTTGTGTGTGTGTGTGTGTGTGTGTGTGTGGCCAGCTCAGCCCACCAGGGGGCGGGGCTGGCTGGCATATGGGGTTGGGGGATTGAACCGCGGTCCCTGTGCTTTGCTAAGCTTGTTCTAAGTAGGTGCTTTAGACCACTGAGCCATCCCACCAGCCCATACAGTTTTTCTTTCTTTCTGAGCGTTTTCTCCTCATTTCACAGTACCCATCGTCCATCTTGCATGATCTGCTCTTTCAGCTTCTTACACTTGGGAGACTGGCTTATTTCTCTTGTAAGTATGGACTCACGTCGCATCCATTTCCCTATAAATGTCTCAAGTTTATCTTTGGTAGCTGAGTAATACTTCATTTTGTAAAAAATGCCACATCTCTTTTGTCCATGCCTCAGTTGATGGGCATTTGGGTTGTTTCCAAGATTGTGCTATGAGAAATTGTGCTGCTATAAACATGGGTGCACATGGATCGCTGTGGCGTGATGTTTTGAATTCTTCTGTGAAAATACCCAGAAGAGAAATAGCTGGGTCAAATGGGGCCTCAAATCCTAGGTTGTTTTTTTTTTTTTTTTTTTCTCGTGGAACCAGGGATTGAACTCAGGCCCTTACGCTTGCCAGGGAAGCACTTATTCTACTGAGCCATCTCCCTGGCCCTTCAAATCCTAGTTTATTTTGAGGAATCTCCATGCTAATTTCCAAAGTGGTTGCACCAGTACATTGCCACTAACAGTGGAATACGGTTCCTTTGTGCTGGGATATGTCTTATTATCTTTTTTTAAACATATCACCCTGGGTTTTTTTTGTTGTTGTTGTTTTGTTTTGTGGCGGAACTGGGGACTGAACTCAGGCCCTTGCGCTTGCCAGGGAAGGGCTTATTCCACTGAGCCATCTCCCCGGCCCCCCAGGATTTATCTTATTATTATTATTATCATTATTCTTTTGGCATTTAGTACATGGTCTATAGGGTCTCACTATGTAGATCGGACGTGTAGTGATCCTCCTGTTTTCAGCCTCCCAAGTGCTGGGATTACAGGCGCATGCCGCCACGCCCAGTCTCCATCATCTCAGCGCGCCCTGGGGGCAGGGCCAGCACGGCATAGGGATCAAACCTCCGACCCCTGTGTCTGCCTAAGCAGGTGCTTTAATCCACTGAGCTCTCTGGCCTGCCCTGTTTCAGGATCAATTTAAAATTTGGAGCAGTAGTGATAATCCAAGTCTGTCATAGGGATGAGACATCATTTCTACTTTCTAATTTACTATCCTTAGCACTTAAGGCTTCTTGAAACTACTACCATGTGAGCAGTTTTAGTACTTTGCTATACAAGCTCCCTGGCAGCAGAGATCTTGTCTGTCTCGCTCACCTCTGTGTTTTCGGTGCTGGGATCCCTTGTGACTGCTCTCAGATGTCTGTTTCCTGGAGGGACAGACTCTCCTCGCTGCTACGATCCCCTCTGACCCTGTCTCAGTCTGCAGGACAGGGGTAAGGCCGCCTACACCGTAATACCAAGCTACATTTCAAGTCTGGGTGTCTCTGATGGGGTTGGAGCAGAGATGAGGCCGGGCATAGGAGAAGTTGCGGAGGGCCCCTGGACTTAGTTTCTGGCTTTGCCATTACACATTTGGAAAACTTTTTAGATCCTTTATTTCTCTATCTGTACAGGAGTGACAATTGTACCCACATGCGTAGACCCTTGAAATCCTTGGTTGGAGAATGTATGAGAGTGCTTGCTTCAACAGCACATATACTAAAATTGGAATGATACAGAGAATGTATGGGAAATGTATTTTAGGGCTGGGGAGATAGCTCAGCAACATAAGCGCCTGCTTGGCAAGCACAAGGTCTGGAGTTCAATCCCCAGTACCATTAAAAAAAAAAAAAAGAAAAAGAAAAAAGAAAAGAAAGAAACGTATTTTAAAGACATAAAGTGACTTGTAAAACTTGTAAAAGTGGAATATTACACAACAGTATCTTCATTTTCTTTTTCTTTCCTTACTTTCTGCTCTCCCTCCCTCCTTCCTTTTTCTTTCTTTTCCTTCCTTTCCTTCCTCCCTCTTCCTCTCTCTCTTCCATTGTCTCTCTCCATTCTCTTTCCTGTCCTCTCTCTCTCTGTCATGTTCTCTCTCCCTCTCTGTCTCTCTTTGTCCCGTCCCAGCCTGCCCCCCTCTTCTTGTTTGTTTTGTTTCTACTCTACACAAAACCCTGGGTGTGCTGGCCGGGTGTGGCCAGTTGTGTCAGATTAGACTTTCCTGGTGAGGCGGTCCCATCAGCAGGGTGAGCTCAGTAGAGCATCTCCCTGTAGGCTTTCCTCTGCTGGGATGACCCTGGGGGTGGAGGGTATCACCAGGGCTTAGGAAGTCAGGCCCCCTCCTCTGGCCTGTCCTCAACCCTGTACCACTGCTAAGTGCCTTTCTGTGGTCCTGCCCTGCCCTGGTCACCATGAGCTGAGCCACCAAGAGCTGTCTGATGGTGTTTGTGTCTCCCCAGGCGGCTGCTGAAGAGTGAACTTGGATCGTTCATCACAGACTATTTCCAGGTAAGCAGGGTGGGTCTGAGCATCTATGGTTTCATGCATGTGAGCTTCAGTACCCAAAAGGACCGTGAGACTGAACACAGGATGGTCCTTTAGCCCCCTCAGTGACTCATCCCGAGCCTTTACCCAGTGCTAAGCAGCATGGGGCAGCAGCCACAGAGGGGACCAGGTGAGTGCGTCCTTGTAGCAAGGGGACATGATGGTCCTCCCTGTGTGGTTTGGAACTTGTCCAGTGCCCAGCATGGCCCTTTCTGAGCTGTGTCACACCAAGTTGCTTTATTTCTCTATGTGAAATGGATCGTAGGACCAAGGCTTAGCAGGTGCTTGTGAGGCTGCAGTTGTTACTAAAGTGCTTAAGGACTAGTAAGTGAGAGTAAGGGTATTTTTAAATTTGTGTGGGTGCCCACATTTCAGTCCATGGTGTAGTCCACCCCTTTTAATGCTTAAGATCTTACTAATATAAAAATGCTTAAGATCCTGGCTTCAGGTTGGTGATCTGATTTTTTTTTTGTCCACATAGAACCTATATTTAAGACACTTTAAAGAAATTATAGGTTTAAAAACAATGTAGGCATCCTCTTATGATTTTACTGATTTTAAGATTCATAAATGTAAAGTTCTGTGGGCCTTTTAAAAGAATGACAAGTCAGTGAGTTAAAAATGCTTGTGTGTGTGTGTACACGCACGCGTGGTGCGTGTGCGCACAAACACACACATACACACAGCAGAAAATGGCTCCTGAAATCTGAATAAACTAAGACCGAACAGAAGTCTAGACCTCGCTCAGGTCCTCTGCCTCCACTGTTGGAAAGCAGCTTGCATTTAGAGAGAGCGATGCAGGAGGATGAAGAAATGGATCATCAGTCACAATTGCGGATCATTTCAGTTGCCCTTGCCTCAAAGGCCTCGTGCTCCTCCTTTGCTGTCTCTATTGATGGATTCCAAAGCCAGCCCCAGAGAAAGTGGTTTTTCAGTCCGTTCTGGAGAAACCTGCCTTCTTCCTTCTTGACCTTTCAAAGAAGCAGAGTGCCGTGTGGTTTCAATCAGGTTTTAAATGTCAGTTGTTTGGGGGCGGTTGGAGGGGCCTTTGGGCGGGGACTTGTTGATCCCAAGCCTTGATGTTTTAGAGGTGGTTAATACTGCTTACAGAGTGTACCAGAAACTTATAAACTAATAACCACTTGTCATTTCTTATCAGGAGCATCAGAGGCCCTGCTGGGTGAAATGTCAGGTCTCTCGGGGTGGAGGTGGGGGCTGGTTTTCGTAATTTTGAGTCAGAGGTTTTCCTTATTTGAGGTGTTAGACTGGAAAGAAGGCTGTCCCAGACAGTGTTTTCCAAGATGTACGTGTGTGTGTGTGTGTGTGTGTGTGTGTGAAAGATTCACACAGTGCAGAACCTTTTTGTGGTCATTGAAATCTTTGGTTCCCTGCCATTTGTAAGTGGCATAGTACATTCTTAGGAGAGCAGCAGGGTTTGGCCACCACAGATACTGGAAATGATTTTAGGTGACACAGACAGTGGCATTAAATAACATTAAAGCTTGTGGTGAGAACTGTGGCCCTGTTTTACTTTTCCTGCAGCTAGGGAGAGTGTTGTGCTGTGCTGTGGTCGTGCACATGTCTTTGTCTCCAGGAGTTGGCATCTCCTTTGTTTCAGGAAGAGGGACTGAGCCTTGAACTTGGTGTCTTCAACTGGGGACACACTTGTTAGGACTTTGTGGCTTCATTTCCAAGTATTGCATAGACCATTAAGCGATACCGTACTCATGACAGCAGATGTCACTATCGTTTCCTTTCTAAATGTAGTGATGTTTTATTTTAATTTTTACTTCAGTTTTTATTTTCAAAAAGAAGATACTGGTCTATGTTTGTGATATAGACATTCACCTTGCAGTACTCATAATTATTATATTACATCTTCATCGTTTTTACTCATATCCCCTTTTGCTCATCTCCCTGTTTTTAGAATCTATCTCTCTCTCTTTCTTTCTTTCTTTCTTTCTTTCTTTCTTTCCTTTTATTTAGGACAGGGTGTACAGGGTCTCACTGAGTAGATTTTGGACTCGTAGTGATCCTTCTGTTTACTGCCTCCCACCTGCTGGGATTACAGGCGTGCACCATCTCAGTGCGCCCTGGGGCAGGGCCAGACTCCCAGCCCCTGCATCTGCCTAAGCAAGTGCTTTAATCCGCTGAGCTATTTGACTGGCCCTTATTCCCCCCTCCCCCATTTTTCCCCATTAATGTGTCTTATTTTGCTATTTAATTATTTATACCTGGTCTCACCTTGGAGAAACCATGATATTGCACCTCCTGTGTCTAACTTACATGTTTACAAAATGGTTTGATTTGAGAAAGATAGCATGCAAGAAAGCCCAGAGTAGGTGGCCCAGGCCATGGCCCCAGCTGAGAAGGTGGTTTCCGGGTTAGAGAGCCTGGCTCCAGCCGCTGCTTGAGAAGCTGCTTCCGAAGTCACTGCCTCTGCAGAAGAAACTTCATGCCAGGTGGGAAGTTGAGGCCCACAGAGGCAAGCTACCTTCCTGTCCAGCTACCAACCCTGGTTTCCAGAAGGAAAAACAGAAAGAATTCCAGAGAGTTTGCTCCCTCTTCGAGGGAGAGAGAAGGGGATGGGGCAGATAAGCAGAACCTAGGAGTGCTTGTGGCAGCCAGCGAAAGCAGGGATGCAGTTGCTGGGAAGTGGGGAAGAGCCTGATCCTTGGGGTGCTGGGCTCATGTGTGTGAGACTCAGCCAGCAGTGTGGTCTGCCCGCTCTGGGACCCCACCCCCACTCCGCTCACCAAGGCAGAGCAGGCTCTGTGGTTTGCTTTTGCAAGTGAACGTGTTCATTTGACAGCTTTAAAGAAAGATTTGCAGAAAGAATATTCCCCGTGGAGAATAATGAGAAAGGCCGGAGGCAAGGAAAAGCAGGTAGAAACGCAGTGCTTATCTTGGGTCTGCACACAGAAGAGACAGGCTGTTTGATCTGCAGAAGCCGGGATGCACCATGAGGCACTGGATGGAAAAGTGTGACATTTGCAGTATTGATTTTTTTCCTTCGCCCTCTGTCTGTTTTGAACTGTACCCAGAAGAAAAATTGGGATTTCCAAAAGGAACGCTATATCCTCGTGATAGCTCTGAGGGATAATTGGTTCCTTATAACTTTGTGAAACCCATGATATGAAGCATTCTGCGCTTTGGATTGCCTACGAGGATGTCTTGGCAGTACAGGGCACTGGAGAGGAAGGGCTTTGCACAGAGCACTTCCAGGGATTCTGCATTTAGGGGCTGTGAGGTTCGCTAAAAGCCTCTCCCCAGACCCCAAACGTTTCATCCCTTTTCTCTGAACTGGAGTTCTGCTTTATATAGAAACTAGGCCAGAGTCAACGGCTCTCAGTGAGTTGGTACTAGGAAGAGTCAGGCATGCCTGATGGTGTTTGACATATACATGCATGTACGTGTGTTTGTGCACATGTGTGTGCATATGTGTCTGTGTGTTTATTTTTCTCCACTTTCGGTTTATATCTGCAGGGTGCTGGGAGGCTGTGTTTCACTCCATCATTACGAGGGGGAGTTAGGGCTGATGGCACATGGCAGGCAGCTGCAGGAGGGGACCCATGTGGAGTGTCCTGGTCACTACGGAGTTAACACTGAAGACAGTGTAGGGACATAGATGCGCCTACACATCTATACACGCAGGGTAACACAAGTGCACTGTTAGCTAGGGACTTGGGTGAACGGCAGACTTCCTAACAGGATCGGAATAAATAAATGTACATTGTCAGGACAGAGTGATGGAAATTACTTTGGTAAGTTCTAAATCCAAACTGAATAGGAGAGAAAAGTTTTTTGATCAGCCCGGGAAGTATCTATAATGAGCAGGATTCCCAAAGTGGAAAACAAAGAGAGAGTTCGGTGGTCAGCAGCGAGTAAGGAAAGTGTCATATGTACCCGGCTCTGGAGGCAAAATTGGGACCCCTGTAATAGAGGGGCTATGAACACAGAGAGCTGGGCTTTGGTGGGAAGGCAAGGGACAGAGGCAGGGGCAGACGCAGGTGCAGGCGCAGGCACAGGCTTACATTATAGGTCAGAAAGTTTTTAGCCTGGCCTGGTGGAGACTGTGGAAACAAGGGAGGAGGGGCCAGAAGCTCCAGCTCACCGACCCCTGAGGGGAGGGAGTGTGGGGCCACCCAGGGCTCATCTCTAGGTGGAGCCCACTCCTCCCTGAGAGGTGGCCTGTCTGTCATGCACCCTCAATCTTAGCAGCTTTGTGTGCTTGGGCTCCTCCCCTAGTACTAGAACTTTGTGTAATTATTTGAGTATCTTTATTGTGATTTTCCCATACCTTATGAAGCTAAATAGAAAAAATGGGCATTGAAATTGATAACTACAGACTTCTATATATATATATATATATATATATATATATATATATATATATATATATATATATATATATATTTTTTTTTTTTTTTTTTTTTTGTATTTAGTACAGGGACCACAGGGTCTCACTGCACAGATTGGACTCTCTCAGATTGCCACTATGCATGTAGTGATCCTCCTGTTTACAGCCTCCCAAATGCTGGGATTACAGGCACGTGCCACCGCGCCCAGTCTCAGTCGCCATCTTAGTGCGCCCCAGGGGCAGGGCTGGCATGGCACGCTGGGGATTGAACTCCAGTCCCTGTGTCTGCCTAAGCAGGTGCTTTAGTCCACTAAGCTATCTGGCCAGCCCTTTTATATTTGAGATAAACATAAAAATCAATGGATGTGCTAAACCAGCAAGCCTGGAGCCTTGTCAGGCTTAAGTTATCACACGTTTGGCTGTGAAAGGAAGGAACATATAGGTGCAAAAAGGCTGAAAATACATCTCCCCAAGATGAGCTCTGAAGATGAGGAGTCATTAGGGGTTTACAATCCTTTTCAGTTCTGTGGGAATAGAATTCCTCCTGTGTTGTGTAAGTGTGCTGTGAGTGTGTACTCTCAGCAGCACTGTGTGAGAAATTGGGTGGTTTTTGTAAATCAGGCAAGGAATGGCAAGAACCAGCATAAGGGTGCTAAGTGGGAGGAGCCAGGAAAGGCGTAGGCCCATCATGGGAGTACCCTTTTCTTTTTTTCATTTATGTATTTGACACACGAAGCTTGGACTCCTAGTGATCTTCCTGCTTTCAGCCTCTCCAGTGCTGGGATTACAGGTATGTGCCACTATGCACAGACTCATCACCTGCTCAGCATGCCCCGGGGGACCAGGGATCAAACCCTGGTCCCTGCGCTTCCTAGAGCAGGCGCTTAGTCTGCTGAACTATCTTGCTGGCCCAAACTTGGTGGGTTTTTGTTTGTTTTTGTTTTTGCAGTGCCAGGGATTGAACTCAGGACCTTGCGCTTGCCAGGCAGGTGCTTATACCACTGAGCTATCTCCCTGGTCCTGCTTTTCAATTAAGAGGGAGTACCCAGCTGTTCTGCAGCCCTGAGAAGTAAAGACTGCTGGGCCTTTGTGTTCAACATGGAGAGCAACAGAGAAGCTTCCTCTGAGGCTCCTTAGGAGTCGTAAAGAGGATTGCAACAGGAGGAGCAGGAACTGCTCACATTTTCCAGGATCTATGTGCCAGGCGTTGGTCTGAGTCAGTGGATCTCGGAGTGTGGTCCCTGGACCAGCAGCTTCAGTGCCATATGGAAATGTGTTAGGCACCTTCTCAGGGCCCACGCTGGATGACCTGCGTCAGGAGTGTTGGGAATTGGGGCCCAGAAATGTGGGATTTAATGATTGAGTCTGGGAACATTGTGGTTTTTCCTGTCTTAGCTCATGTACTCTTCTTGAGGGCACTTGTGTCATTTTGTCTTACGAATAATACAACTTGGGGGCCAGAGGAGGAAATTCTTTGTCTAAGATCATGGTAGAAGGTAGATCCAAGATTAACCTGGGTCATCTGACCAGTGGAGAAAAGTCTCTTGGATTCCGCTGTTGATGTTCAAGTGTCCTTAGGGTGTTTCTTGAAAAAAGGACCAAGGAGTTTTTCAGTTATTTTTAGTTTTTATTTGTTTTTGTTTGTATCTAGCAAATCAGATGTAGGCTAGTTTTCCAGCTTACTTATTAGATAATTTTTTGTTGTTGTTTTATGTTCTCTAAATCACATTTATCACTGTCATTGAAATGGTGCTAAGTGAAAGATTAGTCCAGTCCCAGAGCTAAACTCCCTACCTTTGAAGTCTCCAGGGGATTTCTCTCTGGCCTCCTCGGAGCTGCCTGGCCATGCTGGGACTGGTTTAGGAGGAAGCTCTCTGGCGCAGGGGTGAGTTGTGTTTGTGAGGCTTTGTTCTGCTTGACTAGGAAGCTGCCAGGCCCGTAGGAAGAGCAGACATCAGGAGAAATGATGATTGCCTTTCAGAATCACAGAGGGAGCAAATGGACATGCCCAGGATTTCCACACTGAGTTTATGCCCAAAACAGGAACTTTTGAAGACAGTGACCTCACCGGAAGCACACTCCTGGGTGCAGTTGGCAGCCCAAGTGCTCAGCAGGCGGAGCAGCTCCGTTCTCGACCTTCCCTGGGTAGGAAAGTGTGTCTCATTTGGGGACAGGGTACCCCTGGGAGCCAGGTGTGCCTCAGGTTGGATGCTGACCGTGGGAAGCAGACAGCAAGGACCCGGCAAAGTGCTTTCGGAGAGATGAAAATTGAGGAGCTGGGAGCACAACTGGGCAGCAGGAATAACCTAGCGTATGGAAACCTCTGAGCCTCAGTTTCAAAGCAGAAATCTAGCTGTAATGATGGCGCCTGCTTCGTAAAGTTGATGTGGTTACTGAGGTGTCATATGATGAACAGTCGACAAGATGGTAGCTGGTTGTGCCTTAGGATGTCTTACTGTGAAGTCAGCCAGAGGAATACATCTCAGTGGGGAAAGGTGGGCTCTGGGTTCAGACTAACTGGAGTCCAGATCTGGCCTCACGTGTACTGATTACTTCTCTGAGCTTCATGCTCTCCATTAAGGGGCTAGATTCATGGCCAAGGTAAAATGAGATAATTATATGAGAAATATGTGACCCAGTGCCCCACAGAGGAGAAACCAATGCTGAATTCCACTGACATCTCAGCATCAGCTTCCTCATCTGTGCTTAAGCTTTAGAAGCTGCTGTGTATTTACAGAGTTCTGGCACTGCCTGGAAAGTTCTTCCTGCAGAGAAAGTGGGGCTGTGTGAGTCTCTCCCCTTCACTTTCTCAGTCTGTTCCTTTGGGTCCCTGTGACCAAGATGGGGAGGTGGTTTACAGGCCTTACACCACCCCCACTCGCTCTCCTCCACCTCCTCCAGCCCACCCTCTGTGTCTCCAGGACAGGCCGGAGCTTTTGTTCCCACTAAAGGCAGAGTGGTTTTGGATGTCTTTCCCCAAACATCCTCACTTGGAGTTTTCCTAATTGGGCCTCACCTTTCTATTTGCAGCCCATTTTTCTGTGACTTAGAAAGTGACAGCTGTTTGTTTCTTTCACTGCCGGCCCCTCCGGCACTTCATTAAAGTGCTATCGAGGCCAGAGCAAAGTTCACTTGTGAGTGGGGTGGACACAGGAACAGCGCTCTGTGCCAGGTCCCAAGTCATTTCCTAGGTGCCTGCTAAGTTTAATGACCAGCAGTCAGAGTGGGCCTCAGCGTGTGCAGAGCCCAGGGCTAACTGAAAATGTAGCTGGGCTGAGGAAGACTATCTCCCCCTCCCATAGGCTTGCTACTACTCCCCACAGAGGGCAGGGACCCCTGTGTGTAGCAAGCTGTGGAGCACATCATGTAAATCCCAGAATCCCAGCGTGCTGTGATACAGGTGTGTGCCACCACACCCAGCTTGGCCTTATAAGATGTCTCATTAGTACATTTGATAAAGACTTATGCATTGTTGACTTCCCTTCCACTCCTTTCGTGAGGAGGCTGAGCTGAGCTAGTGATGCTTACCATGACCACTGCCACCTTTTAATTACTGAGGGCATGCGATTCAGTGTATGTATTGATAATGGTTAGTTTTTGCAAAAACTTTATGACATTGCTGAAGAATTTTATGATATGCCATTTTATGGATGGGGACCTCAGAACTCAAGGAAATCATCTGGATAGAAAGCAGCCAGGCAGAGGGGTGCAGTTGAATAGAAGGAATCGCTTCAGATGTTCTGTGGCACCATTGATTAATGGGAACAGCAATTAGCTGTGCATTACACAATAGCTAGTGAAGAGGATTCTGAATGTTCCCAGCACAGAGAAATGATAAACATCTGAGATGACAGATGTGCCAATGACCAGGATCAGATCATTACACATTGTGTACACATATTGAAATGTCACGCAGTGCTCCATGCCTATGGACAATGATTACCTGTCAATTAAAAGTACCTATTTTATTTTATTTATTTTACTACAGGACGGCAGGGTCTCACTGCACAGATTGGACTCATAGTGATTCTCCTGTTTTCATCCTCCCAAGCCCTTGGATTATAGGCACACACCACCGTGCCCAGTCTCAGTCAGTGTCTCAGTGTGCTCTAGGGGTGGGGCGGGCACAGCAGGCTGGGGATTAAACCCTGGTCCCTGTGCCTACCTAGGCAGGAACTTTAGCCTGCTGAGCTTTCTGGCCAACCCTGAAAGTAGGTACTTTTAAATCAATTACAAAGGAGATAGAATGAAAATATCTACTAAGGAATGGGGTGGGGAGAAGAAAGAAAAAGTAACCAAGCAGGTACTTGCACGAATCTGGCAGCCAAGTCTTTTCTGATTGTGTGTGCATGCTTTTGTTGTCATCTGAATAAGGCTTTAAGGTCCCTTAAACACTATTGTTAAGGGATGTACTGGTGTTTGCTAGCACTTAGGGCCGTCACCCCCAGCTCCCCCACAGGCACAGCCTGGGGGAATGAGCTGTGGTGCGTGGAGAGGCGCCAGCCCATTGTTGAACTTTGAGGGCCTGCTTCACGGCTTGGGTGCAGGGGTAGCTGAGGACAAGGAGGAGTTGAGTGGGGGTGGGGGACTTCCTGGGAGGCAGCAGAGGAGAGTGGAAGTTTCTGGAACCAGGAATACCAGCTCTGCTGCCTGTGGGCATGTCTCTTCATCATAATATTCACCTGATAGAGCCAAATGAGCTCAGAGGAAGGACACAAAGCCAGTGACGTGCAGGACAGCTGCCTGTCATTAGCTGCAATTCTCAGAGGATTTGACATGACTCTCTCCACAGCCTGCATACAGGTACACACGCATACCCTCACTGAGGGACATACACACTGCTGCTACGATTTTGCACAGTCTCTTTCATGCTAGTGTGAGAAGCCCTAAATTTATCTTTAAAGTAATCGATGGATGCGTAATTTCCCATTGCTTCAGGCTTCCTTTTGGAGTGGTGAGCATCCAGGGCTTAAGGGCATGGGGTGTCAACAGGGGTGACTTCAGCCATTCTTCGTCCCATCTGCTCTGTGGATTGGGGGGTGGGCGGCAGCTGCTTTGCTGCACTTGCTCTTTGGCCACGGGATGCCTCACTGTCTTCTCCTGAGGCCTTCACCTTCCAAGGGGTCAGGAGAAAGCGTCTGAGGCTCGAGGCACCGCTGGCCCGCACGGGCCTTGAGCTCTGCCCTTGTCACCACGAGTGGAGCAGGACTGTCACACTCTGGAGGCCCCAATGCCTGTGTTCTTTGTTCTCTCTTGGCAGAACCAGCTGCTTGCCAAAGGACTGTTCTTTGTGGAGGAGAAGATCAAGTTGAGTGAAGGCAAGTATGACATGGGCCTCTGGGAGTCGGCCCTGGGTGTTTGCACAGCGGAGATGCTTCTGTGCAAGGGGCGGGCGCCCACCCCATGAGACACCCTGTCCCTCGCTCCCTCAGAGGCAGCAGCACTTGGGTCTGAGTCAGCTGCTTCCAGAAGGGCCAATCAAAGCTGAGATTTGAAACACTGAGTGGGGTCTGGTTAGCTGCTCTGGAGACCTTGTTAAAAGATTTTCTCATCCTGTTGGTCTTCTCTGAAGGGACACATTCTATTCTGGATCCTGCCCTGCAGTTCCCATTGATCTGCCTTGGGCTCTTTCTTATCAGCCTTTGTGTTGTGATATGACTGGGATTGTAGTGGGCAGGAGTCCTTTCCACGTGGGAGGCATTAGGATAAGCAGACTCCCACTCAGGGGGGCATGATTTGATAGGTAAGGCAATACTTCCTGGTCTATGCTAAGGGTTTTAGAAGCCAGTTGGCAGGATAGAAAGGAATTGATGATTTGAGAGATGGTACGAAGGGCAGCAGTCACCTGACCCTCTGGCCACCAAGGCCCATGCTCAGCTCTCAGCAGTGTGGGGCCCAGCATTAGCTCCACACCTACTTCTTGGGTGACTTTTGGAAATGGCCAGTTTCTGTGGCTCTCAGTCTTTGTCATGTTTAAGGTGATAAGGTGAGGGCTTGTAGGGAGCTGGCCTGACGTTGTTTCCCTGGCACACAAGAGGGAAGTACGCTTGGCCTCCTTTTCCTTTGCTTAATCTAATGCCCTTTCTCTGGAGGTCAGACTTACTTCAGGAAGCATACTTAATAATTATACTATCATTCCTTTTTCTCTTCTCATTTCTGGGAAAGAGACTAGTGTTCAAAAGAGCGGCTCCTAGAAGGACAAAATCAGAAGGAAAAAGAAAAGCTACCAGAGAGTGCCGGTGGCCAGCATACAGAGGGTGCTCCGTTACCAAAGCCTTTGGATGGATAGAGGCTGAAATTAGTCTCTGCTTTTTCTGAAACTTCCTGAACCTGTATCATTTTTCCTCCTTAAATGCAGATATCCTGTGATGTTTCTCCCAGCTCTATAAAACCCACTAAACCAGGGACTTGGAAATTATGCTTAAAATTGAGGTTAAAAATATGATATAAATTGTATCCTCTCAGCCTTTTCTCAGTTCTGAAGGACTGATGTATTTTGTATTGCTATGGAATATGCAATTGTTTAAATGTATTTTTTCTTTTTCTTTTTCTTTTTTTTGCAGAATCAGGGATTGAACTCAGGCTCTTGTGCTTGCCAGGGAAGCACTTATTCTACTGAGCCATCTCCCCAGCTCCAAAGTTCAGAAGTTTTTTGTTTTTTTGTTTTTTTTTTTGGCCTGGCTCAGGATGCCTTCAGGGCAGGTCTGGTAAGGCTTGAGGATCTGGGAATGGAACCACAGCATCCTGATTGTTTTGTTTAAGCAGTCACTTAAACAACTGAGCTAATGGGCAGGCCCCCTTTAAATTTATTTGTAGAGGTCTCACTACACAGCTCAGACTCACAATGACCCTCCTGTTTTCAGCCTCCCCAGTGCTGGGATTACAGGCATGTGCCATCACCCCCAGACTTGATGGCTGGCTCACTGCACCTGGGTACAGGTCTGGTGTGGCCTGTGGGGCCAGGGATCAAACATCGGTCCCTGAGCTTATATAAGCAGGTGCTTAGTCTCCTGAGCTATCTCACTGGCCCTGCATTGCTATAGGATAGATCCCCAGGACTTGTTTACTTTGTGAGACTAAAACTTCATACCCACTAAACACTTCCCTGTCAACTGCCCACCTGCACAGCCCTTTACACTATTAGCATTTTGTTTCTATAATTTTTAGTTTTCCAGGTATCATAAATGTGGAATCATAAATTTGTTCTTTTGTGATTATCTTATTTTACTCAACGTTATGTCCACCAAGTTCCCCCATGTTGTAACATATGATGAGATTTCCTTCTAATTTTTAAGATTGAATAATATTCCAGAATGTGGGTGTGTAACATTTGTCTGTGTCCATTTATGTCAATGGAAGGGCCCTATTTTAAAATGCCTGGCTTTGGCCAGGACTTAGCGGTTCTTTTGCCTCTCAGAATCAGGCTGAATCACAGGGGTGGAAGATGATGGTCCTGTCAGAGGGGCAGGAAGGACAAAACCATTATCCCTGGCTACATATATGTCAACCAAGCCCCTGGAAATGTGGAAAACCAGCTCTAGGAAAAAGCTACTGAGCAAACTAGAGTAGAAGTGCTCAGCTTTGAGTGAACCTTAAGACACGGAGCTAGACGCGCTGAGCACAGATCACCCAAGACTGCGCCCTGCCCAGAGCCAAGCTGCTTCCCTGGTTTCTCTTCTGGTCCCAGAAGAGAGAGGCTTTCTGCACAGTGAATGGGAGTGTGGGGACCCTTTAGGGGACTTCCTCGTCCTCACCAGGATAATCTCTGCTTCTTGATTGTACGTGTTAGAACGCTAAGAAGGATTGTGTTCAGATGAAAGGGTTTTCTTGGTAGAAAGTGAAGCTTGAAAATGACCAGCATGATCCAGTTACCAAAGAGACATCACTTTGTTGCCGCATTTGCTTCTGTCTGAGCGTATTTGTTATGGACAGGCGTCCCTGCCTCATGGCTATGTGAAGGGCAGGCAGCGAAGTTCACATCCATTTGTCACATCTTGTGAGCAGGAGGCGTTATGTTATTTTCAGTAGTCTTTATAGAGCCTTGGTGACCTGGACTTTCAGTTTCTTCTACATATGCGTATACCTCTAGGGTCTAAACTCGCATGGAGTGTTGGAGGGCAGGTTTGATAAGACAGACCACTAGCACCTTCCATATGGACCACCTTCGTGCTTTCAGGGTGCTGAATCCTGGACTCATTGGCTCTTCAGGAAATGAAGTCACCTGTGTCCTTTAATTCTCTCTTTCCTGGGGTGGTCTGTATCCATCTGGTGTTCTTTTCTAAATACTTTCCATCTCTCTGTGACTGTCTGAAGTTTGCATCCAGCAGACCGATCCAGGTTCTTGGGAGGGACCTCCAGCCGTGAGGTTGGAGAGCTCCCTTGCGTTCCCGACCTCCATACTGGTTCTGCAGCAGGCACTGCCCTGGCCAGCACCTTCTCTGCCGCCCTGCCTCAGGCTGGGATGTGTCTGCTTGTCTTTACTGTGAAAGGCTTAATGTTTAATATGGGGCCACCCACAAAGCAGCTAATGTAGCCTCTTCTCCTTTGGGGTACATTATCTAAGTGCTGGGCTTCTCCTTGAGTTAGGAACTGGCATGGTTTAACATTTTAGGTGGTCCCTTTGACTCCCCTTTCTCCTCCCTGCAGTGAATGTGCATTGCTGATTTGAAAGCAAGTTGACCCTGAGTTAAGCAGTCATTTATCAGTTACTTAAGAGATACCTAGTGCTCGGATGCCTGCTGGAGATACAGTACACAAAACCATCATAGATTACAGGCCCTAGTGGAGTGCCTAAACTGGTAATGGAGACAGATTTTAATTCATTTACTACCATATGTAACTAGAACAGGATGAACATTAGGAACACAATCCATAGTAAGGAACCTGATGAATGGGGGAAGATTTTCATGTAGAAGTAAAGCAAGAGGTATAATGAAGAAGGGAGACAGATGTAGGTCACACAGAGAGGGGTGGGGGAGCAGTCTGGGAAGAGAGATGAGCTTGTGCAAAGGCCCTGTGGTATGGGGAACTGTGGATTGAAAGGCGGAGATAAAATCTGCCTAGAGCTCCAAAGCTGAAGGTGCAGAAGGAGACAGATTCTCCTTGCTATGTAGGCCGTGCTGTGGGCATTGCTTTACCCAAAGGGAAAGGCAAATGTTCCTGCTAACTCTTAAAACCTGCTTTCTATATCCTTGTATTTGGATTAAATAGTACTTCTTCCTGTCATAGGCCTTAACACCTGCAAAATCCACATGCAGTCCTTGGCATTGGCACTGATTTGTCTTGCCAGAGCAGAGTACCAGAAATAGAGGGGTGAGTGGCACACACAGGCTCATGTGTCACAGCCATGTTCCTGGAGGGGACAGTAGGCAAGCAGTTCCATCAAGTGTGGTTAATGCTCTGCCAAGGGGAACAGAAGGGTGCGCAGGTTCCCCTGACCTGAGAACTAGTGGTCATGCTCTTGTTCTGTTCTCTCCCTAGCCACTGCCATTATTGTTCATTTAGTTAATAGATGGAATATGTAAAATGAATCTCTCAAGATTCACTCAGTGGAACATGAAGTGTTTGGCCAATGCCTCTGCCTCTGTGGCTCATCTTGGGTGACCCACTTCTCTGCCTGGGGTGAGCAAAGGCTTGACAGCTCTGACATCTAAGTCATGAAGCAGCTGCCACCCAGGGGTCAGTCCCTCCTACAGCCCTTTCAGTGGCATCGGATGACATGCGAACTCTAACCTGAGGGTGGAACTGGTCCTGGCCCAGGCTTCCTGGTCCTAGGGATGAGTAGGCATGGAACCAGGAGGCGGGCCCAGCGTTTGCAGGTCACCTCTTCAGAGAATGCTGCCCTCCTAGTTACTATACAGTAGTGAATAGACATGACTGGTTCCACATCTTCTTTCTGTAGAATAAAGTCAGTGTATCAGTGACTACAAAAATAGAACTGGGACTGCACATGATCTTCCCAGCTGAGGTGTACTGAAAGGGACACCTTAAGAGGTAGGGCCTGATTTAAGATGGCTAGACCATACAGTCCATCACCTTTGGGAGGGCTGAATGCTGGTGCTGTGCAGCTCATTCTTAGAGAAGGGATTATAATACAAGCTTGACTCCTGAATCCCTCTGCTGCTTCCACTTCCGGTCTTGCCATGTGCCACTTCCGGTGTTCCTCAGACACTCCCACCACTGTGATACCATCTGCTGTATGATTCCTAGTGAGACTATATATATTTCTGTCCTGACAAGCTCTGGTGGCCATAGCTGTGGATAAAGACCCTGTAATATAGGGACAAAGCTCCTGGCCACAAGTTTTAGAGCCTTTGAGACATCAGATTGGAGGTGGAGCTATCTTCCAGCCTCTCCTACGAGTAATGACAAGCTCTTTTCTTTCTTTCTCCCCTCCCATCTTCTCGCCCTCGTAGGTGAAAACCGCATTGAGGTTCTGGCTGAAGTCTGGGACCACTTCTTCACTGAGACTCTCCCCACCCTGCAGGCAATATTTTATCCAGTTCAGGTCAGTCTTGCTGGGGAACGACTTCCTACTGGCCTGAGCCATCTGCCTCCTCTCTTGGCCTTCACAGGTCTGGGCCTCCTGGTGGATGGGGGAGAGCCTGGAGTGGGCCTTTGAGTCAGCAAAGGACCACGGAGGTCTCTTGGGGCCTTTGTGATTCTATATTTAGTTTTTAACTTCAAGCAAAGGAGAAAGCCTGCTTAACTAGCAATTTGTAGGCTCTTGTTATCCTCTTGGTTTTGAGTGTGTTCTTGGAGTTTTTTTTTTTTTTTTTCTCCCTGAAATAGAGAAGATGAGGAATGAGACTTTTCCTTTTGCTTCCCTTTGTTGTTCCCCTCACCTCTTTCTTTCCCTCTCATTTTTTTTTCCTTAAAGCACAACTTTTAAGCAAGTTTGCTATTGTCCTCAAATTGTGGGGCAGGGATAACACTCCCTTCTCTGTCCTCCATTAGGAGTCCCAAAGACCAAGAGCATCATAATGTGAAGCACCAAGTGGGAATCCATAGACTTGACTCAAGATGGTTTTAGTCATTTAACTTCTCCGTGTATAGCTCCTGCAAAATGGGGAACCAGAGTAAAAGAGGAGGGAACTGTATGTAGTTCCTGTACTGTGGCCTTGACTCACTGTGCTGCTTATATTGATTTCCTTCCCCTGCCCCCATGCCACAGCTGTTGGCTGCCAGGTCAGAAGGGCCACCCTGTAGGGAGGACGCCCTGGGGGATTCCTCTCCACAGTACACATCTCTGTCATGTTCTGCTCCTCCTCCTGGGGCTGAGACTTCAGATGTAATGGGGTTTTGCTGCAGCAGGAGAGGAACAGAGCTGTTAGCAATGGTTGGAATTTCCTCTTGTCCCAGGGAAGGCCCAGGGGACTGTTGGGTTTGAATGGTGTTTTAAAGGAATTTGAAATTGCATAAAATATATATCCAATATTTTAAACCTGGGAGGCTGTGCTTACAGATTTCATTTCCTGTTTTAAGTCCAGCCCTGCCATTTCCAGTAAGACAAAACAGATAGAAGCCCCTGGCCCACAGCCCGCTTCTTTCTTTCATCACATTTTTAGTTACAGCCTGCATTTCTGCAGACAGTGCAGGCCTGTGCTCACAAACTGTCCTCTTTTATGCAAGAGGCACCTATTGACCAGCTGGAGGTCTTTTCGTAAGAAGACAGATGTAGCGGTGGGATCAGAGTCAACTAACTTAGCAAATAAGAACACAGGATGGCAGGTTTTATATGAATTTCACATAAATCACAATATTGAAATGCTTGGGAGCTTTTTATCCTGAAAATATGATTCAGATTTAACAGAGCATCCTGTTTTATCTGGCAAGCGTCTAGGAGGGGTGGGCAGAACTGGTTTCTTAGGGCTATTTGGGCAGGGAATTTCAAAGTGTTGAGGATGTTTCTAGAAAGGATTGTGGGATCTAGGTAGAAAGGGCCCTAGTACAGCCAGGAAGTGCAAGGGTTGGCCTCTGAAGGGCCTACGGAGGGCATCGTCCTGATTCTCTTGATATTTTACTAGATCAGACAATAACTGATCTGGCCCAGTTCACCCTTCCCAACCACCAACCACTGACTTGAGTTTCTCCTGTCCTCTAGTTTGCGATAACTGCTCTTTGGCTGATCATGTTCTTTCCCTGTCAACTCCTGGGAGCATTTACTTGTTCATTCAGTTAGCTGAAACTGGCCAAGGGGGGTATGAACTCAGTTTCTGTGTAGCCCAAATTTAGAAGAGGTGGGAAAGCTCTGTGTCAAATGGCTTCCTCTTACCTTTGTGTTCTCAGCTGACCAGACTCATAGATTCACGAATTTGTGAGACAGAATTCTCTCAACTTTCACTCTTTCCTTGGGCCTAGTCAGAGTCACTGGATGGCACTATGGAGCATGTGGACATGTGTTCGTTCTCTCTCTCTCTCTCTCTCTCTCTCTCTCTCTCTCTCTCTCTCTCTCTCTGTTTCTCTCACCCTCGCCCTCACTCTCTCAGATAGAGGTTATGAGAGGCTAGGGGGTTTTTACGCACCCCCTAGCATAAAACAAAAATTGAAAACCCAGTTTTGTATTACTATGAATTCACTGTAAACTGAAAAGCTGGCATGGGCTTCATGACAAGTCAGTACACTGGTTAATTATCCCAAGTGGCCCTCTAATAAAGCAATGCTTGACTTGTTTGTGTGGCAGGTTGGTCAAGCCTGACAGTCTCCACTTTCCCATAAATGTGTTTTCTGCTAACAGTGGAGGCTGGATTTTGCATACAGGGATGGCCTTTGTGGCTCTGAGGACCAGCATGCTTATGAAAAGAAAGCCTCATATTTTTGGTGAGATTAGTGACACAGGAAATCAAAGCCACTTCCAATGTAAACGGTGGTCCAGCACTGTTGAAACAGATCCCATCCCCTTGCTTTTCAACACAGGAGGAACCAGGGATGGATGCAGTGTGCCCTCTGGTCACTGATACATCTGGGCCTTCCTCCTGAGTGTGTGAAATGTAACCTTGAGCTTGGAAGGCCCAGGGCAAAGTCCTTTCCTCTCTTCCAGGTACGGGCTATAACCACTAATGCCTGGCCTGTGCCCAGATGAGAGCAGATATTTCGTGTGAGAGGTGACCTGGGGACAAATGAAGATACGAGGCAGCACCGGGGAAGAACAGAGCAGTGCAAGGAGTGACCTGCCCTTAGCTGGCCTGGGTTCAAGTCTTCAGTCTGCCACTTACCCTCTTGACAATCTTGGGAAGATAACCTCACCTCTCAGAACCTGTTTCCTTCCATAAAATAATACCTACGGAATGGGTGGAGGGTGGTCCTCCTGAGAAGACCCTGTTTTTGTTTTTCCTAGCATATGAAAATCAAGTAATACTACATGAAAAACACTTAGCTTAGTATTGGGCCTAAAATTATCAATAGTATCGATATCAATATTATTGTACTTGTTCTTTGCATAGTCCGTTTGTGTTCTCAAAAAGTCAAAAGGTGTTGGAACTTTAGCTGGTGGTGACCAGTTATCTGGATTTATTTTTCACGCTAAGCTGATGGGTTTGGAATGGTTTCTTTGGCATGTCCACCATAGTCACCCTATGGAGAATGTCATCCTGTCCATCGGAGGCCCTCCAGAGCCTGTCTTGTATTCCATTACAGGGCGTAGAAATCAGTGCAGTCTTTTTTTTTTTTTCCTTACTAGAGAAATGTTTATTTTTTTTTCAAAGTTTTATTGATAAACAGATAGCAATGAGACAGTTTCAAATCCAATCAGAAGTACAGTTTCAACAAATAATACACTGCATATATTCTTCTTAGTGGTTAATTGCTGTACAAGAAGTGGACTTGTGATCC